TCGGAGATGTGGCATAATCAGGAACACTTGTTCTATTTATTTTATTATTTCGGCAAGAATTTTGAACTTTTAGATTTTGCATTGGTCGAGTTTATAGGTATTTGATCGGATGTCTGTGAATGCTAACTTAATTTTTTGTTGTGCTTATCGAGAACTAGGCTAAATGTATTTTTTAAGAATTAAGTTTAATTTAAGTTTATTTGAGTTTTAGAAATTTCACGTACACTTATCCGTGAAGTGACGTTTCGAGTATTTAAATTGCAGTATGTAGATAGCTATCATAAAGAGGTTATCTACGTATTTTTTCTAATGGCTGCATATTGCTGCAGTTAAGCACTATGAATCTAACTTTTGATGGTATATGAGCTGAAAAATTGAACTCCCAAACATATGTTGGGGAGCGATTGCATTACTTCGCGATGTTGCTTCGATGTTTCGAAAGCTTATTTGCTGGGATGTAAGTGTTGCATTGTGTTGTTTATTCAGTTGTGTCGGAGTTGCATGAAAAATCGATAATTGGTACTTTTCTTGTGGTGGTTTATATAGAATGTGGCTGGTTTTTTTTAGGCTGTGGCTGGTTTATTTAGGTTGTGGCTGGTTGATTGGATGGTTGTTTGGTTGTTTGCTTGTCCGTTTGTCCATTAATCGTTTTAGCGTAAACTCACAACTCATCGTGCGTGTTTTATGTGATTTCGAGTGATGTAATTCATTGTCGTTGTTACTTCGAACTTCCATATTTTTCCTAAAATCAAGAAATTTATAAATAACAAGACAGTTTACATTGTTCAGGTCATTTGATTGGTTTGAAAGATTATCAGGGAACGAATAATGGATGAAGATCAATTATTGGACTATGAGGAAGAGCAAGAAGAAGCGACTGATGGTAACAAAGCAGAAAATGGATCAGCGACGGATAAAAAAATCAAAGTATCTTTTTCTTTTTAAGTTATCATCCATAATTATTTTAAAGCGGACAAGATTTAGCTGACTTATGCAAAATTTCTGGTTTGTTCAATTTTATATTTAATCAAATTTCGAAATTAAAGTTGAATAAGGAGCTTCTTGTTGCTCGTAACAATTATCGTCTTAAGTTTTTTGAATAACTCGGAATGCTAATATGTAGTGAAAGGAACTATAAGCGACGATCGAACAGTTCAAATAATATGTATCTGATGAGGGAATGAGCAAAGTTTGTTCATATTTACTACTTGTAGCATTCAAGTGAGAATGTTCCTTTATTTTAGGGTACTTACGCTTCCATCCACAGCAGTGGTTTCCGAGATTTTCTTCTAAAACCGGAGTTACTGCGAGCAATTGTGGATTGCGGTTTCGAACATCCTTCGGAAGGTCTGTATTTTTTAGGCCATTCACATTCATTTTAAGTTGTTGAGGACTGCTTCACTTATATTAGTCTTCTTGATATTTTAGCATACGTGATTTCAGTGCGAATTAGGTAATTGTGTATGAAGTTTCAGTACAACATGAGTGCATTCCACAAGCTATTTTGGGCATGGATATTGTTTGTCAAGCGAAATCAGGAATGGGCAAAACAGCTGTATTTGTTTTGGCGACTTTGCAGCAACTTGAACCTGTCGATGGCGAGGTAAGTCATATATTTTGTCTTGTGAGGATGGTCACTTCTTGCAAAAAGTTTGAAGGTTAAAGGTGGTGTGAGGAGTATCGGACAGTTGATAGTCAACTTCACAGATTTTGTGTGATACTGCTTCGCGGAAAAATTGGAAAACATAAATATGTCAACTTTTCACGTTGAAGCTTATTCTTTTACAGGTGTCCGTTCTGGTAATGTGTCATACGCGCGAGCTGGCATTCCAGATTTCGAAGGAATATGAACGATTCAGTAAATATATTCCTGGTGTTCGGATTGCTGTCTTTTTTGGTGGCATACCAATCAAAAAAGATGAAGAGACACTTAAAAACGATACACCACATATCGTTGTTGGAACACCCGGGCGTACTCTGCAACTGGCACGACAGGGGAGCTTGAAATTGAAAAACATCAAATATTTCGTTTTGGATGAGTGCGACAAAATGATTGGTGATAATGGTACATCTTTTTTTCCTTTATTAGTGTCTGAAGCGGAAGATCAATGTTTTGTATAGCATCACAACAGGATTTAATTTTAGACATGCGACGAGACGTTCAAGAAATTGTGAAAATGACGCCGCAAGAGAAACAAGTGATGATGTTCAGCGCTACGTTGCCAAGGGATTTGCGAGTGGTCTGCAAAAAATTCATGCAAGATGTAAGATTTTCTGGTGCAAGCAGCAACACACACATACTCTGTACACCATACGCTGTGATGGGATATCAAGTGAATAACAGCTCGTTGCTGATGGATATAAATCTTGCTGCTGTCCATTGAATTCACGTCCGAAAAATTACACGAAGAGCTTTGCATTCAGCAAATCTGTTTTCGTTGGAGCTATTACAATGGCTTATCCCTAAACGCTGCTAAACTGCGTTTAACCCACTTCTCTTAAACATTATTTCCTCATGGCTCCCCATCTGAATACATCATAATTGGATTGCGGAGTGGATTTTCTGGAAGGTAAGCTATTTTCATTTTCCTTTAATGTGCATATTTGTTATTATGTTCATATTGAATGTAACCTTTTCCGGAGATTTCTGAGTGAGACTTTGGGTATTTCATGAAATAATGTCTGTAGTATGGTACGCTTTTTTAATGAAGCTCGAACTGCTGCTTTACTTTCACAGTACTCACTCACTTTAAAATCCATAATAAGTTGCAGGTTTCCTTCCAAGATCTGCTCCTGAAGAAGGATTCGGCATTGCGCACTTCGTATGGCGTTGCATGTGCCAGATGAAAATTTTTGGCGCAGCAATTTTGCAGTAATTTATATTCGTGATGTGGAAAGCCTTGCGGTTTTTTTTTATACGAACCGGAAGCAGGCACTCGGCTATATTTATTTCTAACATATAAGAAATTTTTAACTTAGGTAGTGAAAAATAAATGTGAAATGAAGGTGAATTTATTGATTTTGGATCGGATCGCAGACTGATATATTGAAACTATGATAAAATCATTCCATGAATCAGAAATCTGTGACGACATTCCTCCATCATCTTCTTGTCGTTAAAACAATGATTTTTCAAAAATGAAACAAAATTTGTAATTTGGGTCAATCAATCTCAAATTGACAGATATCGAATAGTTACTTAAATTGTAACAGCAGTGATGGTGATGTGTAAATTACTGGGTCTTTTAAAATTAAAATTTGCAAATTATGTGGGTCTAAATTTTTCAGCCGATGGAAGTATATGTCGATGATGAAGCGAAGTTAACGTTGCACGGATTACAGCAACATTACGTGAAGCTGAAGGAAGCTGAAAAAAATAAGAAATTGCTGGAATTACTCGATCAGTTGGAATTCAATCAAGTAACCTTTTAAACGAAAAGTAACAGGAATGAACTATGCATGTTGCAGTTCAGCACTATCGACATTTATGAATGGATAGAATCCTCTTGCAGTGCAATCATATTGTATCTTGTCTTAATGCGTCTTTCAGGTTGTAATTTTTGTGCGATCTGTGCAGCGCTGTGGTGCTTTGCACACTTTGCTCTCCGAACAGAATTTTCCAAGCATTGCAATTCACCGTGGTATGCCGCAAGAGGAACGCCTTTCACGATATCAGCAATTCAAAGATTTCCAGGTATTGTAGGGATTATGGGTACCAAGTTTTTACCATTTCATAAGATCTGCCAATGATGCATTGAATGTTTTGATAAAATTGGTGATAATTACATCATTCGTCACTACCACTGAGGCATTTAGTGACTGGTTGAGGTGGAAGAGTCCGTTGTAATCCGTTCTTAAACATGTCTTTTCTAGAAGCGTATTCTTGTTGCAACAAATCTTTTTGGTCGTGGCATGGATATTGAACGCGTAAACATTGTGTTCAATTATGACATGCCAGAGGATTCGGATACATATCTGCACAGAGTAAGATTTTTTCCTCATTTTAGTTTCTTCCTTAACTTTGAATCAGCATCAGCTTTTTGAAGTTAGTTCGAATTTATTGCATGGAGTCTTTCGTATCATTCGACAAATGAATTTAAGAAAAATGAGTACTGAAATATCAAATTGAAGGTGGCACGTGCTGGACGTTTTGGTACCAAAGGATTGGCGATAACATTTGTATCAGATGAAAATGATGCAAAAATTTTGAATGATGTACAGGACAGGTTTGATGTGAATGTTACTGAATTGCCAGCTGAAATCGAAGTTGCAACGTACAGTGAGTTTTCCTTTCATGTTTTATTTCAATATATGACATAGCGAGGATTAAATTGTCTCTTTTTTACGTCCAAATATGTAACCAAATGCTGCTAGATGGGTTTACTTTTCCTCATATTTCTGGTTCCATCTTATTTTCTGCTCCAAATATGTCATTTGATTAAAATAAAAGAATGATTGGATTTCAGTCGAGGGACGAGCTAACTGAAAGAAAATTGGTTTGGGGTACTTGATGGCGCGTTATGAGAGAACATTGCGATGTTGTTGTTGTTGCTGTTTAAGAGATATCTTTTAAATTATAATAGAGTGTTTTGTTTGTGAAGGATTGTTTTCTTACCATACCAGCATTACTGCAGGAGACGATTTTTTTTGTGTACTCTTGATGATTATTGTACTATCCTATTTTTGGTGTCATAAATTCGTACTATTTGAAAATTTTTTAAGGAATATTGCGTGTTTTTTTATTCTTGAATAAACTAGTACATCGTTATTAAGTAAACTGGGCTATATGCTGAAAAGACCGGTAAGAGAAGCTCCGGAAAGGTCGTAAATAAGTTTTAGTTATCCGGGTTGAGTCGATTGGCATGCGGTCAAGATAGCCTGAGATGTTTCCGGTCGCTTATGAATGCTTATGCGAAAATACAAAAAACTATTGGCCCCATCGTGCATTTTTTAGATTTAGATAATGCGATTGTCGTGTTCTTGTTCATCATTTCAGTTAAATGGCTTTGGTATTGTTGATGGGTGTACCTGGTTCCGGTAAGACATATCTGAGTAGGGAATTGAAAGCGAAACTTGGCGATGGGATTTGCGCCACTTTCTCATACGATGATATTTTCAATGATGATGGTTTCATGGAGTACATGTGGGGTGCGGAATGTATCAATAGAAGTATATTACAATTATATGGTGTGGACGAAAGTACAAATGCTCACAATGAGCGGAAAAGATGTGAAAATCGAATACGGGAATTCTTGAAAGTTCAGCTATCGATTGAAGACACAGTGCCGCCGGTAACTGTGGTAGACGATATATTTTACTTGAAAAGTATGCGAAGGCCTTTCCGTAGAATGTCGACAACGTATCATCTTCCATATCTAGTCGTCTTCGTAGATGTACCAATCACCACAGCTTTAACACGGAATATGCAACGTCCTGCAAAATGTCGCATTCCGGAATCTACCATCCGAAAAATCCATCAACAAATGGAATTACCATCAAAAGACGACGGTGACTTCATCATCTATCAATCAACGGATGATTTGAAATCATTGGTTAAATATATTGATCATATTAGATGGAAAACAAACCAATGGTATACTTCGAATAAAGTAAAGTTGATGATATCTGAAGGCATGGAAAAATCATCGAATAATAAGAAATGGATGAAATTAGAAATTGACCTGAGAAGATGTGTTAGTGAATTAATTCGAGAGAAAAACGTTAGCAAAGATGGTAATCTGTTAGCAAAAATAAAGAAAAACATTTATTGGCAGATGCGAACAAAGGATGCAATTAACTGGGATATGCAACAATTAAAGGATATGCTGTGGAAAGAATTTCAGGTTTGACAGTTATCTAAGAGAATATAATTATTCCAACAATTGTTATTTAGTGCCCGAAATTTAAATTTTATTCAAATATTAACTAAAACAAATGATGAGGATAACCTTTGATCTAATTCTAAAAAAAAAAAACAATTCACACAAATCATTGCAGTAAACAAAGATAAACGATAATTATTCTATATTTATATAATAATTATATAATCTAATTATATAATTATATAATCTCCATGGGAATAATTGTACATCATTTCTTTGTTATAAGAAATCGATTTCATCTATAAATTCTCTTTTTGCCACATCTATCTAAAAATCATTGAAATTTTTTTCAAAATGAATCGATCAGATCATCCGTTTATATCATATTCATTTTTCATCCAACTATATCATTCATTTCATTTTATCATTTATTATCGTTTACCACAGTTCCTTCTCATTTTATTTTCCGTTTCAGGGATATTATTGTTTGAAACAGTGAATTAATGAAATACTGCTCGTTAAGATGATATTATCGAACATGAACAATAACACTTATCACTTAAATGTGTTAAATAATTATACATTCGTATATAATCTGTAAATATTACTTATCAATTCTAATAAAGGTGTATTATCAATCATACGTTTCAAACATTATCGCCGCCATCACCATTTGAAGCAAGAAATTGGAAGAAAAATATTTTCACCTCCCCTGCTAACTGACAGATTAATGCGGCGCTTATCATTCTTCCTCTTCTTCCTGTCATTTCTTCAGTTTTAGTCTTTTCGTATCTTTAAGGGAGGAGGAAGAGAAGGAGGAAGAGGAGGAAGGAGGAAGGGGATATAGGGGAGAAGAGGAAAGAGGAAAGGTGGTAAAGGAGAGAAGAGGGAAGAAGATATAGGAGAAAGGTGGGAAAGGGGTATAGGAGGGAAGAGGAAAAGGATTTATATCTCCGCCCCTCCTTTTCTTCTTTCCTGCTTTTTTCTTTCCCCTTACATAGTGATCGATTCGTTATCATCGTTTCTTTTATCGTCACTCCCATATTTCATTCTCCCTTTCCTCACTCTTTCACCAAGTGAAGAACAATGATGAGGAGGAGAAGAGGAAAAAGGAGGAGAAGAAGGAGAAGAAGAAATGAGAGGATCTATGGCGGGAAAAGAAATGAAAGTGACGGGGGGGGGAAAGGGGCAATGATGGGAAAATCAATGAAGGACAGGTAAGTGAGAGGTTTCATGAGTGTGGATAAGAGTTAAGGTAAGGGTCAGCAGGATCAGGGTGAGGATAAGAATAAGGGTAACAAATTGAATGAGAGGCAATCTATAGGAAGGGGAGTGTCACCAAAAATGGAGGGAGAAGAGGAGAAAGCAATCGAAACATCCCTCCTATTACACAAGCACCTCCCACCATATCTTTCCCCTTTCTCTCCTTCTTACACAATTTTCCCCTCCCCCCTTTCTTGCTCCTCTCTTGCTCCTCCTATTCCTCTCTCTCTCTCTCTCTTTCTCTCTGTCTTTCGATAATGATGACAACATTTGAACAGAACTGAATGGATCAATCCGTCTCATAAACTTCCACCGACTTTTTTTCTTTGAGTTACCTTAATTTGTTTTTTGCAATGAAAATTTAAATGATTAATTAATTAATTATAGATCATTCAGGTGTATTAATGATTTCAATTTCGGATTATCGATCAATAATTTTCCTATATTTATTGAATAATTAAATAAAATGGATAATAATCTTTACTTACTAAATCGTTTTAACTTACAAACATTTTGAAATTGATGTTAAATTTCATAGTTATCGGTATAATTTCAAACGTTTATATGTCAATGTAAAATGGCAAATGATTGATTGATTGATTGATTGATTGATCGTTTGGTTGATTTATTATTCTATGATACATTCTCTTTCATACTAAATCAATATACGATGTGAACGATGTGAACGAATGTCTGCCATTTTAACTGGTCAGTTTAATTTGATCGATATATGATCGATAAAACATGCTTTTGTTTATTGATTAAATTTAATTATTCAATTAGTAGGATAATTTCAACAATCGTTAGTTTTAGATTTGTTTGAATTTTTTCAATTATTATATAAGGAATAAATTTTTACAATCTAAAAATATTATTTATTCGGAATATGTTGAAAATGAATCATTTTCCGATTTCAAGCCATCGGATTATTTTTCTATAATTGTTTGTTTGTTTGTTTATAATTTATTTCATTTGTTTTCATTCAATTTATGTAAATTATACAAAAAAGTAATATTTAATTAAGCAAGGGAAAAACATTTAATTAGGTAATATTTAATTAAATTATTACAAAAAAGAGGAAAGAATAGGTGAAGCAATTTGAGGGTAATTTTTCTGATCTTTTAGCATTTCGTTACTTAATAACTAAATTTATTTTAATGCACAAAATATATAGAAATTATATAAAACATCAAAATATAATTTCTGCATCCCTTTTGTTTCCATTTATTAATTTTAATTTAAAAAACTAAATTTCCACCCAAAACAACAATACGAAAAACTTTAAGGCTTTATTCGATGCTTATAACTTATCGCTATTCCCTTTAACTATTTTCATTTTAATCACTTAAGAAAAACCACTTAAATTAGTGGGATATACTTCTACATAAGCTGTATACATTTAGCTCTTAATTGTAGTTCCATCTTTCTTTTACAATTTTATACACATACACACATGCACGGATACACACACACACACACACATATATATATATGTATGTGTAAACATAGATTATATCATATAAACTAAAGAATAATATATTCCAAATAGAAATTTCCTCTTGTCAAGTTGTTTCAATAAGCATATCAAAAAAGCGGGAAAATTTTTGGTAGATTAGGTAGCTAAGATGAAATATCCCATAAATAAACTATAAAATAATTGAGATAATTTGATAGGCCTATAAAATTATCGCAATAAACTGATTATAATCAGTGATCAATTAACATTGATTATAATCAGTGATGGATGAAAACATTAGATTTAATGTTTTATAAATGTTACAATCAGCATTTAGTAATGAATGCATTCATATATGTATAGTCAGCGCCTAATTAATTAATTTGTTTTTAATTAGTTTTTTTGAGTAAAGTTTCAATTAATATGTTCACTATACATGGGTTGAAGCACCAAATATGCATGTTAAATGTAGAAAAATTATTTATGTTTCATTTTTTTAATTAATAAAATTCTTATGCATACGATTATTTGTATGCAGGCAGGATTAAAATGATAGGTACAGCAGTAACTATAGTCGATACTCTGAAACCGCCAATATCATCATTATCAACAATGGAAGCCGTGCAAAAACAACAACAACCACAACAGCAGCAAGATAGTGTTAAATCACTTGATTTACAATGTGATGAAGAATTTGATGAAACATTAGCTGAAAGACCTAGTACTAGTCATAATCACTTACATCAACAACAACAACAACAACAACAACAGTATCGTCAGCAGCAACACAGTTCAACTGATAGTAATGTATCAATGACCAATGGTGAAGCGGTTATTGATTCACCTCGTAAGTTATGGAAAATTTTTCATTCTAATTTGTATTTAACATATTTGTAATCTATGATTATCAATATTTTATGAGTAGTTATAAGAAAAATGGATCGATAGTCTTATGGAATTAGCAACTATTAATTAATGAAACAATAAGTTGACTAGTTTTAAATTTACAATTAAATACTAATGTTATGACTTGTTTCATAATTTGATTAAGATGAAACAAGTTTGCATGCATGATTTTATTTGATGCACAATAATCACCAAACTATAGCACTTCCAATTTGCTGAGCGTTTGTTTCATTCAAGCATTTCAATACACAAATGAATTTGCATAATAACTGTTATCATCTATGATAAGATAGATCAACTGATAGAGAGATAGATAGAAAGTGATATAAGATTCTTATATTGAAACATTTACTTATACTATTTTTAATTAATTATTCAGCCTTCTCATATAACTAAAAACGAAAATTTTATTTTTTAAGAAATTGATCTAAATCATATGGCGATATTCGGACTTTCTAATTATTTCAAAAATTTCTTCAGTTGACTAAAAATTTTTAATTTATCCTAAAATATGAATATATACATCTAAATAACATTACTCATCATTTGATCTAAATGAGTAATCGAATTAAAATGTATCAAACTGTCATTTTATCCACCGATATAGGTAAATTATTCTTGTAAAAAAGATTGCAAAAAAATCTTTTATTTTATATTTTAATAAAATTTTAATATGTGGTATGTATTTTTGTGTTTGTAAATAAATCCTGTGAAATATAACTTTAGGAATAAAACCTTTAAGTTATCAAAATTTTATTCTTTGTTCTTTCTCCTTCTTTATCATTATCAATATTACTATCATTATCATTATTATTATCACTATCATTGTTATTGTAACTACCATCATTGTATTATTGTTATTATTTATTACCACAATTATTGTTGTTATTTAATTGTTTTACTATTACTATTTATTTATTACTTATTAATTAGTTATTATTACTATTACTACTCTTAATTATTGTAATAATAATAACTTTTACTAATTATTCATTATCACTTTTTATTATTATTTATTTTTATTAGTTATTATTGATTATCATCATTATTATTGTCATTATCATTTATTATATGTTAGCATTATTATTATTAATTATTATCATCATTATTAATAATTATTATTGCTATTGTAGTATATGATAATTATTGCTTGCTTTATCAGCTAGCATTAAATAAGAATGATAAGAAACCCTAGTAATCAACATAAATTATTTTTGTTCATTTATAGTGTTTAACAAAATGAAACGTGAATGGCGAAATTATGGTTGCTATACGTCATGTGAGGAAATGGATGAAGTACGCCGACGTGAAAAAGTATCGAAACGTAAAAGTGTCACGTCAGCCCATGGTACGAAAGTTTTTTATCGTTGTAACAATTGGCGACGTACGAGATGTAATTTTCGGATGTACGCTATTATTTTCACATCCAATAAAATATGCTTATTTGCAAGTGGTGAACATGATCATACTGCTAAAGATCCATATTATGTTACGGAAGTTATTACTCCACGTAAGTGATTTTTCTTTACTTTTTTCTTAAATATTTTATGCAGCAAAAATTTTATCATTAGTCGTATGATTGATATCAAATATGTGACATTTTGTTCATACAATTATCACTTTGTCATATACCCAAAATACGGCTTTATGGATGATATCAAATAATTATTGTTTTACGATCCAATTATCATCAAAAATTGCAAAAATAATCATCTGATTGTGATCAAAAACTGTATCATTGGTATCTAATACGATTCATCATTAAAAATAGGATCCTATCATCGGTACATCTCTTATCATTTAATCACTATAAATGGTACCGTGTTACGGTACGGTACGAAACGATCAGTTATAGGCTAATGTGTAGCGTGATTTGAATTTAAATAGGTTATGATTTATATATCAATTTTATTGCTTGAATTCATGTCATTGGGTGGAAAACATTCACTCAAGGAGAGAATTAATTGATGAGAGAATTGTGAATTGGGTTAACGTAGTTGCTTCAATGAGCTGTGTTATGAGAGAAAAGATTGGTGCAGCTAACAACGACTATTTTCACATCATTTTTGGTCCTAAATCTGCCATGTCAATTAATTTCAAGAAATGAATAGAGATTCTGACTATATGATTGGTATCTTAGCAGTAAATTACAATTGCATTTTTAGTACTAATTTCGATCATTTGGACATTGTTATATCAGTTACTTTATTAAGCATGAGCTATGAGATATTTGTATTATTTATCCTTGAATATAGCTTCAATATTTTGCAGAAGTAGAAAGAGATCCTGAAACAACACATCCAACCACTGCGCAACAAGATATTCTTGCACAGTTCGTCATGAATGCTACTTCTAATTTATTGCCTGATGCCCATCCAGAGGTACTTCACGCTTTCATTTTTTGTTGCTTCACATTTCAATATTATTAATTTCATTTCTTCAAAACGTGGTAATATGTAATTATATTATTGTTGCAGTAGTAGTAGTAGTAATATTAGTAGTAATGGATAACTATTATAGATATTGTTATAGTAATAATATTAACTAATAAGAACGGTAATAAATAATAAAGTAATATATAATAATAGTAATAATAAATGACAGTGAGTAGTAATATTAGTAATAAATAGTTAATAATGATGAATAATAATAGTAATGACAAATTATAATAAACAGTTATAGTAATAATAAATAATGATTGGTGACAGTAATGAATGATTATAAATCATTGATGATTAAACTAATATTAATGATGAATGACATTTAATAGTTAAATTAACAGTAATAAAAATTAAATTAATAATAATGAATGATTAATAGCAATAATTAATAATTAATAATAGTAATTAACAATAATAGTTATAATAAGGAGCACGATTATTGTTACTTATTACTATTATTAATTATTATAGATAAGTACTGTTTATCATATATCTAGTTTATTCGGTTTATCATACATCTAGTTTATCCTTCACTGGATATTTTTGGATTGAAATTTTGGAAGTTTAGTAGTAATGAAAATAATATGATTTTTGCTGTTTCAAAATGGATTATTTAATTATTAATTGATTTTTGTTCATTTCATCCTAAATTTATTATAGTTTTCTAATATTATATCTTCTTTTCAAAAAGCTTTTTTTTGAATCTATCCAAAGGAAAAATTCTTTTCAGTCGAGAGAAGCGTCAACATCACAGCTTTTAATGTCTTATTTATCTCCCGGATATCAATTAGCGGACGAACAACGAATAACAGGAATGTTGCAATTAGCAATGGAAATTGATCATAAATTCACTTTCATTCAACGGTATAATAAACATTTTTTTGTGAAATAATATTGACATCTGTAAAATAGAAGAAATTTTTGAAAAAAGGATGAGTTGGCATCAGTGAGTTATTCATTAGAAAATTTGAAAGTTTGAAAAATAATCATATAGAAAAAAAGATGACAATATCAAAGTACTTTTCTCATATGTTAATCGATACTGCAATAAAATATTAAATAAATGTGATAGTAAATAATACGTAAATTACCTACAGGAGTAATGAATTCTGTTTCGAACCAAATGATCCGACATTGAAGGGCAGAAGCATTGTGTTGTTAGATGGCGGAACAGTCGTACTCGTTATTGAAAGGTTTAATGGAACTGAATTAAGGTATGATTTGATGTATTGTCAGTTTTCTTAGTTTTTCTCTTATATAATTTACAAAAGCGTTCATTATATCCTTTTTAGGAAAAAAGAACTTTTCCTGAAATGATAGAAAACGATGATTTCAAAAGATTTATCAAATTTCACATAGTTTTGATAGCGAATCATCGTCATATTATGTTATCAAGGACTTCTATCACTTTTTAACATATACATTTCAATGATGCATCTTTATAGCGACCTTTTTTAATTTTCTTTTGGCATGTGGTAATTGAGTTCGTCATCGGAATCTTGACTGTGATTCCAACAGTAGCAACTGCCAGTCCCATCATTTCTAGTTATCATTGATGTCGATATGGGCATCTTCCAAATCATCCTTGTGCATTTTACATCTTATCGAAATTAGTTTATTAAATCTTTTCATATTGTTTTTGCTTGCACTTTCATTTTCAGCCGTGAAATATGGCAAAAAGCATATTGGAGTCAGTTTCTTTGGGCAATTCGAGGAAAATGTATGCGCGTATTGTATCAGAATTTTAAGGAACCAGCTAATTTATAAAATGAATTTACAAGGGCATGTTTAATTCTTAATTTTTAATTTCCACATCCTTGACAGTTAGAAAAGCAATTTTGATATTTTTAGTTTTGCTTATGAATTTCTATCTTCAATATATTCAAGCATTTTTAATTTTCTAAACCAAAAAAATTATCCATCAACACCGGGTAATATGTACGTAGATTTTATTCTTTTTTTCTTACATGTCATTGTTTACGTTTGTATGTTTGGAACTTCATACATTATATGTCTGGAACTTCGTATATTATATTGTGACACACTAAAACAACACATAGTTATGCGTAAAATTTACATTGACTGATTTTGTTTTATAGAAGTTTTGGATGATTCTTGAGAAATTACTTTAAATTTTTCGAAGAGAATGCAAATGGTACAACGTAAATATTGAAATTTAGATTATTGTTCATCATTCTATTTCTATAATGCCTTTCTCAGTAATACGTGTATTGAATTTTGCGCGTTTTAGTTTTCATTTGATTTACTTTTATGCAACTACTAATTATACACATTAATTTTGTAGCGTCCTTGTGACTAACGAACATCTGACGTTAATATTTTACGAATATTTCAAAGCACTGTTTCGTATCTGATTTCCGCTCGTTTATTTCTATATTAATGATAACAGATTTCGATTAGCACCTATTCCAGTTTTGCAATAGAATTTAGTGAAACAAAAAATTCGCAGAACACTTGAATTTTGTTTCTATGATTCCGCCTCTGTAGTATATTTAGCGTAAACCAGCGTTATCATACACGATTAAATTATAACTAATAAGTGAGCGTTGATAGCAGTGGCGCACTACATTTGACATTTAATTATCAACCGTTTTACGACAATTTAGTTTCATTTATAGTTAATACTATCGTACCAATTCGAAGTTTTTTGTAAGATATTCATCGGATTACGGAGTCGTTGTTTAAATTTGTGCACGTTATCCTGTTAATAATCAATCGAGAATATTTTACCATCAGCATAATATGCATTCCATTGTATTTTACGACCTTTTTTTAACTAAAAATTTTAATTTATTTCGCCAATTAATTTCATTTAATTTAAATTATAATCTACTGATTCCTTATTCTTGATTGATTGGTTGATGTCATATGGAACTATACAATTTTATTGNTGTATTTTACGACCTTTTTTTAACTAAAAATTTTAATTTATTTCGCCAATTAATTTCATTTAATTTAAATTATAATCTACTGATTCCTTATTCTTGATTGATTGGTTGATGTCATATGGAACTATACAATTTTATTGAAGAATAGCAATAAGTTGTTTGCTAAAATATGACTTATAAAAGTCTTTCATTTAAAATTAAATAGCTCCCATTCTCTTATCTTCATTTCCATAATTGATACTTCTTCCAGCTTATATTTAATATATTCAGGCTCAAACTTTTAGTTACTTTCTTTTTCATTGCATTTCAAAATAACTTTCTCATTTAATCATTGAATATATTATCTTTCATTCAAATTTCCCTTCAACTTTGAAATTCTTAAAATGTCTAATTTTCCCTTCAACTTTGAAATTCTTAAAATGTCTAATTTCGAGAAAATAAAATTATCTTTTGTACGAATTATAACTGCACAAATACAACGATAACTTTTCATGTGAATGTATTGAATGATTATCATTCATTCATCCTATTTATTATATTTCATATAATATATATATCAGCATAATCAGATGTATACATATATTATATCTGATCTTTAGGCCTTTTATATGTTCATGCATACTGATCAAAAGTTTTTCTCACCTTTGTATTACCTTATGTAACTATCAGCAAACAAATTTATTCAAGCAAATTCTTCCTATTTGTTTGTAATTCCATTTTGTAATATTTCAAGATCAAAGTTTGAATTTAAAATAAATATATTGAAGTGATTGTTATTTATTTGTGCCTTCTTTTCTTATGCTAAATATATCTCCATTTTCGTTATTCAATTACAAATTAAAATCGAAGAAATGAATGTGTGCTACGTTGTATGTATAAATTTCTTACTCTAAATATAAAAAAATCCAGGCAAAATAATTCCGGATCAAAAGTGAATTTCAGGATCGCATCATGTATAGAAAGGATCTGTTCACTTTTACTTGAAGTTTATTTATCCTTCATTCATCATTTCATTTTTATGTGTTTAAAAAGTTTAATTATGAATGATCTGCTACATGTAGACATAAACTGTTTTGTTCTTATTTCGGACTTATAAATTCGAAACAAGATGTATTATTACCATCTAATTTAATTCCATTATCTCGATCACCGCACATCTGACCGGAAGGCTATCCGAAATCATCAACATCAAATATTATCTTGACCGTCGTACCTAACCGGAAAGCTACCTGAAATTTTAAATCAATATCAAATAAAATTCGTTCTAATTTGAACATAAGTCCATGCTTAACCTATTCATTCTCTCAGTAATAATCGTTACAGAAAATGTAATAAATTTAAGCATTGAAAATTTTCAAAGTTTACCGTATCAATTTTATCAATTGCCTGTACATGGTGTATATAGTATACGGACGATCATGAGTGACTGTAAGAATTTACCGTATATCAAAATTTTATTTCTTTTTTTTAGATTTTAAAATAAATCAGCTAAATTTATAGAAATTAGTGCACGATAAAGAATGGCTAAAGAATAGTTTNTCATCTAATTTAATTCCATTATCTCGATCACCGCACCTCATCGGGAAGTTTTCCGGTAGGATTAGAAAATTTGAGCAAAATACAACAGATAGAAAGGAATGGTTCTTATTAATATTATCACTTTGATTTCAATCAAATCTTATTATATGTTTGTCAAAACCTTACATGTTCATTTTTATAATATCCGAAATTTTACCACCTGATATATTTATTCATCATCACTGTCGACAATTGAAACAAAATGATCCTCATCTTTATCTAATTATTTCTCATTATTTTTGCTAGGTCAACAATTTCTACAGCATGATTCATTCATCATCGTTAATCCTATCGTTATCATCAATCGATATGGGTATCTCCCATATCATTGACATTTATTTGATACACCAAAAATATTATCAAATAAATGTGATAAATAATAAATCACATTTTAACATATCACACATTTCGAGGGAAGGCGTTTAGAGCGACTTTTAGTTTTTTTTACTTTATGATAAGCGAATCCACCATTGGGATTTTCAATCTCTTCTTCACTATCAGTATCGATAAGACGAACATTGTCCACATCACTGCTTTTTATTTCCTGTGTTATCTAAATCAGATTAATAATATTTAATTTTGCAATATTGGCATAAAATTTTAAATCATCAATATCAAATGGAATTCATGCTAGTTTGAACATAACTTCATCCTTAACATTTATTCTGTCAGTAATAATCTGCTGCAAATTATAGGAAATACGGTAAATTTTAAGCATTGAAATATTTCTAAGCTTACCGTATCAATTGCCGGTTCATGATGCATACTACAGGTAATTGTAGGAATCTGCCGATTACCTAAAAATTTCGTTTCTTTTTTAGATTTAAAAACAAAAATGAAATCATCTAAATTTTTAAAAATTAATACAAGATGAAAAAATAAGTATAGTTAACTTATGCCTAAGGTATAGTTAATTTATGCCATTTAGTTAACTTATGCCATTAAGATTATATGTAGCATATTATTTACTAATTGAGAAATAAAATAAACTGAAAGTTTCCGTTTTTAAAAGACACTAAACGTTTTGCCGTATGGACGGAAAAAATATAACAGCTGAAAATTGAAGTGGAAAATGATAAAATTGTCAAAATGTTTGTCTCTTTTTTTGTTCTTATTTTTGATTACTTTTTTCAATGAGAAGTATTTTTGATGTGGAAAAAGAAGTTAATGGTTATAAGCTAATTAATAATGATAAGACATTAATTATCATAATAACCTGATACAATATTGGTATTGTTAGGTTTTGAAGTAGTTGGAATAATCCATGTAATAAGTATAGACGATACGAATACGATAGCAAACATTTGTTGTTAAAATAATATTCTTACTGAATTCTTCCCATACTTCCATTTCTATATATATACCTGTTTCATTACTAACTGTTTAAACATTTCGAAAATGGATATTATTTCTTTATTATTTGTGATCTTTCAGTTTTAGCTTTTGATCGTTATCAATGATAACGGCAATTAATATCTTTTTTTATTCCCTCTACAACAAAGCATTATTATCATTATTAATTGTTATAAATATAACTTTTCAAATGCTATATAAAGTTGCTGTATGCATGTTTCATAGAAATTCATTTTACAAAACAAACAATTCATAAGTAATATAAATTTTATATCTATCTCTATGCTCAATTAAACTATATCATATCATAATTATATGCGTTATAATAAATAAAATTATTTCAATGAATATTTGACATACTTATCGAAATTCGAATTCGGTATTAAAAAAAAATTTAAATATAGCTTCGAATAACTGAAAGAACTCAGTAATAAATTTCTACTTATATCTGAAATGCAAACTTATGATGAGGTATATAACTCACGTGAAGTACGAGGAATTCACGTTATTACGAATAGAATAAAACAACGTATAATGGATATTTTGAATTGTATGATTTATGTTTCGCTATAAGTGATCGATTCTATTATCGTCAAATATATTAATGAGTATTCGTGCAGCAAAACTCTTTTGAACGCTTTCATACTTATGCGTTTATTTAAAGCCATCAAATGTAGAAAAGTAAAAACTTTAGAATTTTTAAAAGTGAATTTAAACTATTCTTTAGCCATTCTTTATCGTGCACTAATTTCTATAAATTTAGCTGATTTATTTTAAAATCTAAAAAAAAGAAATAAAATTTTGATATACGGTAAATTCTTACAGTCACTCATGATCGTCCGTATACTATATACACCATGTACAGGCAATTGATAAAATTGATACGGTAAACTTTGAAAATTTTCAATGCTTAAATTTATTACATTT